CCAAATGAAAAATCAAATCTGCAAGTAATGTTAATAACATCTGAGTTGTGTGTGATTGTGAACTCATTAGCTTGTCAAACTTGTGACAGTTTGTGTCAATTACAATATTTTTTCCCTTATTTTTTTTGCACACGTTCGCTTTCAGGTTGGTAGCATGACATTGCATTTGTTAGTTTGATTGACTCTCCTATTACCAGACGTAGGACATGTATCTAAATTGTGATATAAGACTAAAAATCTTGTTACATTGTCCTATATTAGTCTGTTTTCTGTTTGTATAGATGACATTACAGTTGTGAAATGAAAAAAGAATGCCTCCCTCTGTGACAGCTATATCTATATTATATATTATTTAATTTGAATTTGTTTCATTTTGAATTTTTCAATTCAGCATTTGATTTATTTTCTTTAAAGAATACAGAATATATATAAATATACTGTATATATGTCTGTTAAACATGCAGAATATTCTTTGCCACCTTTACCAAAATCTGACCATGTTGGTACTAAATGTGTCTGGCCTGACAGTAAAGAGAACTGCCACAGGCAGAAGAAGTGGTTATGAATCAACTAGTTTCTTCTTTAAACCTCCCCGAGTGTGTAGGTCAGCGGTCCCCAAACTTTTTTCAGTGGGGGCCACATCAACTTTCCTTTCTGAGATGGGGGGCCGAGGTTAGTCTATAACAGGAAATGATATGGGCCAGGGTGACAACCAGTATTATTGTGGAGATTACAATGATAATTTGTTGTAGCTGCCCTTCGTTTGGCTTTGGCACCACCTGTTGATTTGCAAAAAAAGTAATAAAAAGTCTTCACATGTGTTTTTATTTGAAGTACCACAGATACTCCATTTATTTTATAGAAAATAACAACACAAACTGATGGTAANTTTCCTTTCTGAGATGGGGGGCCGAGGTTAGTCTATAACAGGAAATGATATGGGCCAGGGTGACAACCAGTATTATTGTGGAGATTACAATGATAATTTGTTGTAGCTGCCCTTCGTTTGGCTTTGGCACCACCTGTTGATTTGCAAAAAAAGTAATAAAAAGTCTTCACATGTGTTTTTATTTGAAGTACCACAGATACTCCATTTATTTTATAGAAAATAACAACACAAACTGATGGTAATGCTCATGTAAGAATGAGGTGATGTGATTTTGTAACAGGTACAGTTGAGTTAACAAACGGTAAGTGTTCTGTCTTTACAGGTAGTGAAATAATATTAATACAGAATAGTGGTCAGAATCAGGTAGAACATGTTG